CAAAATGTAAAAGCATTTTTTTGCCATTTTCATTTGCATAATGCCATGAAAATTTCAACTCATCGATTTCGCAGTGTGTAATATTTACAATCAGTGAACTTCATTCATATTATAACTGCTGAATGAATCATCACGCTAATTGTAAAAAAATCCGATGAATCAATCAACACATTGAACATTCAAGTGATCATCTTTTGATTCGTAAAAACAACTCTGTTAACATAAATTTTGAAAAAAAAGATAGAAATCATTCTATTCGAATGCTGCTGACAAGCGCAGCTATTCCGCCAACTTACTATGGAGTAACGTTATTTAGTGACAACCAATGAAAAGAATTATAACTAATTAATGCAAGCTTGACAACAAACTAAACCACAATTGAACAAGATCATATAGAAATCAGGCGAATATTGCATAAGATCAATGAAAAAGCCAATTCAGGGCTTACCGTAATTGTATGCGCTTTTGCACCAAACATTTTGACGAGTTCAAACAGCCGTGAGACATCTTTGGATGTCCATCTCTCGTGAACAACAACTGTAGCGTTACGATCACCGAGCTGAATGAGAATCTGTGCGGTTGGATGTGCAAAGAGTTCACCTGAAACAAGAAACATCACCCTAATCATCACTTCCCTATCAATGGCAACCACTCGGAATTGTTCGGATGAAATTTCGATGGATAGTTAAGGGAAATGAATTAATTCATTAAACGATCAAAATTTCCTCAAGAAATTCAAAAAGTGTACTGCGAAAAGGTAATCGCTTACCATCTTCATCATGCAGTTTCTCCATTAGAACGCGTGTGTCTAATCGGTACAAGTCCAAATATAAGATATTCTCAAAACGATTCGCTATTTGCTCATTCCATTGCTTAGAAACTCTTTTCCACCTAATCAAATCGAACGGATCACAGTAGTCGAATATTTTTGACCTGAACATCAGTTTTCTATCAGAGTTATATTCTGAAATCGACTGCAAAACATTTCTGAGTTTGTATTTGCCTACGCATTTATCCAGTTTTTGGGATTGTTTACAGATTTGCCATTAACAAGAAATGCTACTGAAGTACAACTACAAGTCAATGATGGAATGAAATGCAATCGAATAGTTGCCAACTGCACGAAATAATTCAGTCTTCTCGTTTACAATCAGTTTGTACTCCTTCCGCACAATTTTCCAGTCCAACTTGTAAGTCTCAATATCGCTTAGAAAGTTATTTCTAAAAGATTTCGATTTTCGATCACTCAACACTAGAGCTGATCTTTTTTTGGCTGGCACACTATAATTCTATTTAAGGAATC